GACTCTCTCTATATATATATATTAAAAAAAAAAAACAAGGCCAGACTTCTTTTCCATGAACTGCACAGAATTGCATATAATCAGCAATATGAGCCACGATACGATACCACAATTCGAAAACTATACGAATTTCATAAGTTATGGTTGAGAAAAAAGATAAGACTGACAATCCGGGTAGCGACACGACTCAAAACCTGCACGAAATTAGTAGGTTTAGGTTTACTATAAATGAGTTTGGATCATAATCAGGTTGATACGATTAACACAATTAATAAATTGGTTGGATTAGAGTTGACCTTCTAACACGTAGTGACACAAATTGACACGATTAACTATATGTGTCATCTGCAATCTAATGATATGTGATATAACATGAAAGTTTATACGACATATTAAATACAAATAATGTGAATTTTAATATTTGTAGATAAAATTCATTTATTTTTCTTAAAGAAAAAGATAAATTGACCAATAAACATGTTAAACATGTCTTGACCGTGTTAAATAAGTCATTATTATATTAGTTATTTATTCAATATATTAATTTAAACATGTTATACAGGTTGACACGATTAACACGATTAATAAATAAGTCATGTTTGGATTGACATTTTGACATGTTTAATAAACAGGTTGGGTTTAGGTTAATATTTTCTTACACGATTAATAAACGGGTTGACACGAACACGACCCACTAACACGAATTGCCACCCTTAAAAAAAGAGGTTCAAGTCAGAATTGGGTCAACTTGAAATTAACTAGAAAAACACAAGTCAATTTTGGGTTGGACTCGCCTAACCCGAACACGACACGAAACTCGTAAAAAATTAAAAAATATATGTATTTTTCATTATATATTTTAGATTTTTTTATGAACTTGTGATATCATGATAGTTATACTCAAAATCTTATATTATTATTTGCTTAATTTTGATGGATATTATTGTATTTTAGTGTATTATGAATTTTAAATTATTTCTAATATGTAAAAAAATTAAAGAAAAATATATAATTTTCGTGTTAATTTTGGGTTCACGGGCCAATTTCGTGTCACGAGTTAATTTCGTGTCATGTCGTGTTAACCCGTAAAGTGGTCGTGTCGTGTTCGTGTTTTGATTTTAAAAAAAATTCGTATCACGGGTCGTATTCGGGTTGACTATAAATTTAAAAAAAAAATAATTAAAACACGACACGTGACACGAATTGTCATCCCTAATTGCACAACTGAAAATAGTAGTCACCAAAATATTTGCTTATTTGTTATCAGAATCTGTCTTAAGGATTTAGTTACGACAAAGACAACCATATACATACATATATATATTTATATATTCATTCAATAAGAGTATATTTCTTTCAATCATATCATCAAGATTCAAGCTAAGTAAAGAAAAGTTGTAGCCGCAAAACTGTGTGCCTAGAAAGTTTTGATGACGATTCAATTGTTACTACTAAATGATAAAATTTGCCACCAAGAGATTCTTTTTGAGTGAATTTAGGCGGATTTGCTCATATCATGTGTCAATACAAACATAAATTATGAATAATTTAATAAAACTTCAACTGTGCTATTCCAAGAGGGTATTTTTGATAATATACTATAGAATTCTCCAATCAATTTTAGCACAAAAAGTTACAATGAAAACTTAATCACATACCGTGAAGGCAAACGTGCCATTCCTCCTTCCTCTAATGTACCATCAAAGCTAAAACAAGCGTTATAATAAGTCGTAACTTTTAACTCCTTAACAAGAGTATACAATGAGTAAAACTGTAAACACTCCAAAGAATATTGAAAAAAAGAGGTAAAAAAATAATATAACAAAAACATTAAATTGTAATTTTATTGAAAATAACAGAGTCTCAGCACTATAATCCCTTTTACGTGCTAATAAACTAGGAAAGAAGACGTATTGCTGCCACAAACACACACACATCATGTGATTTGTTCCCACTATGTTCTTGAATAACTAACTGAAAAAAAAAGTGCTTCCCATTTGTTGCTACTATGTTTCTTCTCTTTGCTCTAACCTAAATAGGAAACATCCATGTTATAGTGTGTTTCTTATTACTCTAACATAATTGTTTATTCAAAAAGATCACAAAGAGAGACACAAAGAGAGAGAGAGAGAGAGAGAGAGAGAGAGAGAGAGAGAGAGAGAGAGAGAGAGAGAGAGAGAGCATGGAATGCATGGCCTTCTCTTCTCTTAGGGTCCCAAACCATGATTTCTTTTCTTTCTGCGTCCAACAGCCTTCCTCCTTACGCGCCAAGGCACGTGCTGTACTAATTCTATTATATTATATAATAAAAAGATGAAAAAAAATACAAAAAGTTCAAAAAAAAAAGAAAAAGAAAGAGAGAATTGGGAAGCTTCAGGCAAAAGCTCGGTCATTATCTCTGATAGTGAGCTTAACTTTATGCCTTTTTTTCTACTAAGAATAGCAGCAGCCAACTTGAACAAAAGGCAAAAAAAAAAAAAAATAAAAAAAAGAAATAATAATAATAAAAGATTGAAAGATGGACTTCTTTTTTCAAGTTGGGTCTGTCAAATCTGCGGTGACAAACGACCATTTTAGTTTTTTCGTTATAATTCAAAGACTTTTTTTGTTAATCGTGGATCAGTGTGAGACCCATGTGATTTGAATGGACGGCCAATCCGAATCGAAAACCAATCTTTTGAGAAAGTAATCAGCTGACTATTAGGACATTATTCTTGACCCCTGTACTATACATTATAAGGTTGAGAAGTTGTGAAGCATATATAAATATGTAACTTGGGAAGCTTTCGAAAGATTTTTTTTTTTATAATTTTTATAATTTTTTATAATATGGTTGGAAAAAATTGCTTTAAATCTTTATCCTTCTTCATGTTGGACAAAGTGTGTCACGCCGATTTCTTTGACGTTTTCATTCAGTTAATGTTCAATATTTGAAGTTGATAAGTCATGGGGTTCCAATGGGTGTTGTTGGGCCAAACAATTAAAAATGAATCGCGCCGAATCCATTTTTGTAATAATTAAAAAGCATTGTCACAATCAAAGGGGTCGTGAAACCTGATATTTTAATAATTTTAAATCAGTCTGATTAATAACTTCGGTCAATTTAAGATGCCAAAAGAAAAAAAAAAAAAAAAAACAAACAAACATCAAACGTAAGTATGAAATTAACGTTAAGTTAAAACTTATATTTACGACTAGTAAAAAAATTTTTCCACATAAATTTTCTTTTTACGATTGCTAAAAAGATTTTTTAAGTAAATAAAATTTTTTTACAACATAAATTATTTTTTACTAATTGTAAATGACACATTTATATGATAAATTGTGTTTTGTTGGTGGATTCATGCTATAGTTTAGATCATGATTTGTGACTCGTTACAGTATTTTTTTTTTCACAAAAAAATACACGTAAATAAAGAATGGTTCTAAATCATGATTCTGAATCCATAAACGAAACTTTCACATGTTTTAATGTCTGTTATTTATTTAATTTAATTTTAAAAATCTGCTCCACACTACCATTTCCTGAAATATTAAATTTGAAGGAATAATAACATAGATAAAAGACCTTAGTCAATCCGGATTGGTTCCCATGCTGGCCTTCCATTGCACAACCAGAGTTTAGTTGGCAAACCCATGTGAAGACCTTTAGTAGGGCAATGTTGAAGCCCAACTTGAAGAGAAGGGACCATGTTTACTATCCACACTAGGCCATATTGGGTCTGGTTTGGCCCAAATTTATTTTATTGGGCTATGGTTCATACGCGCCCAGATTTTATTTTGGGAAAAGAATTTCCTCTCCAAAGGAGCATGATTTTTTTTTTTTTTGCAAATAAAAAAACTACTATTAGATACTTTATTTATCAACTTAAAGCAATATAATTTTATTAATTTTTTAAATACGGATAGTTTTAAAATTTTTTGTGATTAAACATAAAAGATAAAAGAAAAATATTGAAATATAATCTGTCTACCTTAACAGAGAAGATAGTAAAAGAAAAAGTGTGTTTTGAGTTCAGATATTATTTTTAGGCTCCGTTTATTTCGTTGATTCGAGTTTAGAATTCGAGTTTTACTACAGTAAAAAGCTCTCACAAACAATCACATCTAACTTTTTTACTACAGTAAAAAGCTCTCACATAAAATCACATCTAAACTCAAATTAGCGAACTAAACGGGCCCTATTTCAAGGCATAAATAAATAGTAGACAAAATGGAATGGGGTGTTGGCTATTTTGGGCAGTAATTGGGCCTTATTTTTCTGACATCCTTGATCTGTTAAGATCTCATCCTAGTAAATATTTACGCGATAAACTTGGGCAATTATATTACACCTCTATGTGTTGGTTTAGTGGTGCGTTGATAGTACTTTTCCACTAATTCAATGCCAATCTTTTCTTGTTGTTTTGAGCATTGAAAGTCTTCTCCTCGCTAATAGTTTTATCATTGCGTTTTGTGGTTGTTTTTTCATTTTTTCTGTTTTGTTTGCTTTGGGTTTGTAATAACAAGTGGGTTTACAGTTTACAACGATTATTTTTGTCTTCATCTAATTGTTTAGTTGCATTTTCCACTAGATTTATTTCTTGCCCCCTTTTGCTGTGATCCCTATGAGATTCTTGAAATTGATTGGTCAGATAATTTCAACTATTATGGATGATATGTTAATGAACTATATGTGTGTGTTCAGTATTTAGTGTATTTTTCCAAGTGTTCGTTTGTCGAGTTTGATAGGTAGTATCCCCTATAAACATTTTAGTCGAATTTACAAGTGGACTATTAAAGTGTGAATTAACATTTATCTTACTTTTTCATGATTGGAAATATATTCTTTTTTAAAATAAAAAATTACCAGGGAGATTAATTATTAAAAAAAAGATGATTTTTCCCTTTTAAAAAAAATATAATTCGAGAAAAAAAAGAGAGCTTTTTGGACAGGACACTTGTTGTGGCACCACCAAACCACAACAACCAACTTCGGTCGCATCCTCTTCCTTCACTGACAACCCAACTTCGTCTTGTGCAGATTGGGGAGACTCGTTAATCTCAAAGCTAAAACCAGCCATGTCCATCGACATCCCAGGCTTAAGACAAAGGTGCATTCTTTTTCCTTCATTTTTCTTATTATTATAAGATTTATTTATTTATTTATTTTGCTAGAAAGTAGAAATTGTAAGTGGGGTATGTACCATTTGTTAGCTCTGATTACATGTTAGCGTGTTTGGAGTGGGAATTGTATCGTATGACCCTTTTTGGACATCATGGGAGGATTTTGAGGATTCTCAATTCTCATGAAAATTAACTACAACATGGGTTTTGGATTTGGGTTGAGGAAATGAGGTTAGAATTGGTTGTCATAAGTGAATCTTGGTTCAAGTCTGAAGTTTGTGCGGGCATGGATTTGTGGTTTAAGAATAAATTTTGAGGCAAATCATGATTGTGTTATGTTTTTAGGTCTTTTTATATGATGACTTGGTATTTGGTTTGCTAAATTTAATGATCATTTCTTTCAAAGAGATAATTAAAGACTTTGCATTCTTGTTCTTATTGTTCTTTTAAAGACATTTTTCCTGGTATGAAAATAGACAGGAAGAAAAATAAAAGGTGAGGCTTAGAAATAAAATAAGATTATTAAAAATAATCAAACTATCTTTTCTCAGTGACTGGTTTCTCTCGTTATAACCATTTCATATTTGTCTTTGGCTTCTAGGTATATTGACTCGTGCAAGAGGCATGATGTCCTTCCTAGTAATGCAATTTTGTCTGGTCTCTGTAAGGTTTGTGATAATTATGGCCCTTTTTTCTTCCCATACTAAGATTTTAATCATAATTTTTCATTATCAAATTCTAATGCTTTCAAGTAGAGATTCTCATTGTCATGTTTTGAGTGAAAATTGTGTTAAAAGTGTTTCAATCTGATTATTTTGTCTTTTCCTGTACAGGCTGAGGTTAAAAAAGCTCGCCATGAGCTATGTAGCTTGGAGATTTTCCTGCACCACCTCAAGGATGTTGATTTTCTTCCCCTATTTGACGTCTTTACGCAACTTGATAATTCCGAGATTGAAGCAGTTGATCTGTGCAATGGATCATCTTGCACATTGAAGGGCGAATATGCTTTGAAATTGATGCGGGCGATCAATCAAAAGCTTCGGGTTGTTGATCTGCAGGATTTCTTTGGAAAGAGCTCTTTACGGTATATGGTGAAGTGATTTTTAGTCTATGCATATCTATAAATGAATTAGTTCATCTTGCAGTTACTGCATTCACTCAGTCCCATTTCAGACCCTTTGAGGATATCTTCGTGGTAAAATCTGGCTTGGGAAGAAAAAATATAGTGAAAATTTAACTAATAATAATTTATGAACTGCTGCTTCAGTTTCCCTAAATTTTTCCGCTCAACTTAGGAAATTCCAATTATCTCTCTTTTTGGTCACTAAAATTCTCTTTGTTCCCCATTTCTTACTATTTTTCCTATTTTCTAATGATACCAATTATCTGCTGTTCTTTTCTTAGAGAAGCATAGTATTGAAGGATGAATTTGTGAAGCGAGATTATCAATAATACGAGTTTCAATTTTTTACTCAGGGATCTCTCTAAGAAAGGTTTGCCATGCCAAATGTTGATCTTGATGGCTTCGAATTTTCGGAAGCTTAATATGTCGGGGCAGTTCATGCAAATACACACCCTTAACCTCGATTTCAGTAGTTCACTCACTAGTTTCCAGGAGGATTGCTTTGCTTGCATGCCTAATTTAATGCGGCTCTCGATGTGTGAAACGAGAATTTCAAATCTTTGGACTACTACGGCTGCACTCTCTAAGCTTCCTTCTTTGGTTGAACTTCGGTTTCAGAATTGGCTGTGTTGCAATGATTCTGGGTCCTGCTTTGTATCATCTAGTGTGAAGTCAAATAGAAAAACTGATTCTGGTTTGCCAAAAAAAAATCCGTACGTTGGAGGAGTATCTGTTGATCTTCGTGAACTCTTAGACCAAAACTCAAGCACTGAACAGGTTCTCAGGAATATGGTTTCACTTAGTGAATTGATTGTAAATAATGACGTTCAAAGCATGAGTGAAGATTCATCAGATGATAGTGAGACAGAATATTTGAATTGCCAGCAAGTATATGGTAACATGGAGCCGTCGCCCACTGCTTTTCCTGGATGGCATGGACAATTCGATTTTCAGAATGAGGTAACAAAGATGGCCTACCGAAATGGGTTCATGTTTTGAAGTCATTTAGTTAGATTCATGTTGAAGTCATTAGAACAAAAAATTCCATGTAATTATTTCAGCTAAAAAATTGTAATTAAAAAGGAAAAAAATAGAATATAAAATATGGTGTCGTTTTTTCAGGGGAATATCAACAATATCATTACAATTCATCAAATTCAACATAATCATCAATTTTGCTTTCATATTCATCACCATCAATCTATCATTTCACAGGTTTCCTTTGATACCTTACAATATCAAAATGAAGAGGAGTCAACAAAGGGTGCCTTTACACAGGACAATGCAGATCTTGCAATGAACTATATTTCTTATCATCCTTCACCAGTATGTTTTGAGAAACATTACAGAGAATACATGATAGCTTCATTACCTCGTTTGAAAGTTTTAGATAACTTGCCTATTAGAAAAAGTGACAAGGAGAGGGCTAGTGTTACGTACTTAGAACACTTTGAACATCTACCTTATAGAAGAAAAAAAAAAGAATGTGTCGTTAGTATTTTAAAAAAGCGTGAAGTAAAAGCAGGCCGCAGTCCCGGGCGAAACTCATCATGCCTGCCTGGGATATCTCAAAACTTTTATACCAAGTCATTTTGCGCTGCTAAGGTGGGTTCTTCTGCTTGGCCATTACTGCATCCAATTTCTATTTCGGGAACTCTTGTTGGAGATGAAAGAAGGAGCTTTCGTCCTAGGCAGTTTGAGTATCATCCAACTGATTGTAGCTTAATGGTATTTGGAACTTTGGATGGCGAAGTGGTCGTACTCAACCATGAGAGTGAGACAGTTATTAGTTATATTCCTTCACTTGGAGCAATGAACAGTGTGTTAGGACTCTGTTGGCTCAAGAGACATCCGTCTAAGGTAAGTAATTACTGTATCAAATGAGATCAGATGATATTATTAGGGTTTTCGTTTCATAAGTTCTAGTAGAAAATTTGAATTAAAATTCAAATTTTTGTGAGAGAAAGCACTGTAGCAAAAAGGTTGAATTGTGATTCAAGCAAACCTTTGAAAGAACGGGGCGTATATTGTCATTATTGTAATTGCGTAATCATAGCAATCAGAATCTTCGTCTTGCGCACTATTTTACTTGTTAACACTGCACTATTATGAAATGATGTGTTTCCAATATGACAATTTCTGATCCTATTTGTTTTCCAATGTTGTCAGCTTATAGCTGGTTCAGACAATGGCTCCTTAAAATTGTACGATATCCAGCATAGGTCGCAAATAATAACAGGCGTATACAATAGTGTTGGAACTGTCACGTTTGATGAGTTTGACCAATTGACATCTGTTCATGTCAACTCTACTGATGAGCTATTTCTTGCAAGCGGTTACTCAAGAAATGTTGCCTTATATGATATCAGCAGTGGAAGGCGTCTACAGGTGTTCACTGATATGCATCGAGAGCATATTAATGTCGTTAAATTTGCAAACCATTCTCCGTCTATTTTTGCAACTTCTTCATTTGACCAGGACGTCAAGATGTGGGACTTGAGACAGAAACCGTTACGGGCTTGCTATACTGCTACTAGCAACAAGGGCAATGTGATGGTTTGTTTTTCTCCTGATGATCACTATCTTTTGGCTTCAGCTGTTGACAACGAGGTAAAATTTTGATATTCTATATATGTTGTGGTTGTGAGTGGTCCAAATATCAAACTTATACTATGGTGCCATGAGCAGATGTTTCAGCGTTTCTTATCCTAAAACTTAGTTCTGATGATATGATTTTGGAGAAAAATAAAATTGTGACAATTAGTATTTGAGATGAAAGAGAAGTTGTTAGAATTTTTAGGGGAAAAAAAAAGAAATTTGTCGGGACGAGGAGGTCAAATATGGGGGAAAAGCAAGTACAGGATAAGGCAAAAGAGATGTGGAATTGAGCATGGGGCATGGTTTTAAATAGAAGAAATAACTATTTGGTTGTCATTTTTTTTTTTATTTTGAAGAAAATAAGTATTTTATTTGGAGAATCTCAACTTTGTGATTTGCTATTGCTGGTTCCTAAGCAAATTTATATCCATGAGTGAGATTGCTGAATTAAAAAGGAAAGATAGTAATTTATAGCTTGAGATTAACCTATAAATAATTACAGGTTAGACAGCTTTTGGCTGTTGATGGGAGGCTTCATTTGAACTTTGGGATAGCTCCTACAGGAAGCACTCAAAACTATACTCGATCTTATTACATGAATGGACGGGACTATATCATTAGTGGGAGTTGTGATGAACATGTGGTCCGTGTTTGTTGCGCTCAAACGGGAAGGCGTCTCAGGGATATATCTTTAGAGGTAGATGAGTCTTCTGTTTGTAGTTTCATAATTTTGACAGTCAAGCTCTTGATCCGAGTTATGTAAAAGCTCTTGAAATTGAGAAGTGTATAGTTGTTGCTTTCTTCTTCTTCACCCGTTTCTTGTCTTGGAAACAACAATGAGACAAATGCTTGTTTCTATTGTGTGCAGGGAAAAGGCTCTGGTACTTCTATGTATGTTCAATCTTTACGGGGTGATCCTTTCCAAGTGAGTTTTTCTTTTTCTCTACTTCCAATACTTTCTGTTTTTGAGCTTAAAGTTTTGTGAATGAGTTGTCATATTATTGGATTCCCTATTTCTCTTGCTCCGTTTCTGTTAGAGCCCGAGCCCCTCCCATTAAATTCGTGTACTCTAGGAGGAGCAAGGGGGCAATAGTTAATTCTCACAGGGAGGCGTAGTAGGAAGAGATAATGGCGGCAAATATCATCGGGTTTCACGCTGAGGTCAAGCATGCCGTTAGGAATTGGTTTTGCATGGGAAATACCGTGAGTGAGGAGTCTATAAAATAGAGCTTGTAGTAAAAAGGGAGGGTATTGTATTGAGAATTGAGTCTGAATATTGGAGGGAGAGGAACGTCGAATTCCTCCTATCTGTAATTTCCGTCTTTACGTTTTTCAGTTTGATCAATAACAGCTAAGAAAACCGCCCAGAAATTTTGGGTTTCTATCATTGGTATTAGAGCCACCGATCCTATGGCCACCGTCCACCACGACCTGCGCGTTACAGACCGAGTTGCCATGGTGGAGCAAAGGATAGAAGACGTTCACGACACTCTTCAGATAGTTGGAGCCATAGCTGACCGAGTTCCCCAGCTGCAAGAGGATGTTACTCGGCTGGACACCAGAGTTGGAGAGATGCAAGGATCGGTGCTAGAATCGAGGAGTTGTTGTAGAGGCAGGCCCGATTGTTTGATAGACAGCATCCAGAGAGGGAGCCGGTCAGGAACCTGGATCGGACACCCAAGGCGAGAACCGGAGAGGGGACGAGCAATCCCTCGAGAAGGCTCACCAGTATGACGGGGGGAAGGAGGAGGAATACAGCGCCAAGTATCACCGGGACGGTAGAGGGGATTTTCGAGGGAGGAAGTTGGAGCTTCCGGTTTTCCACGGCGAAGATCCGTACGGCTGGGTGTTTAGGGCCGAGCGCTATTTCGCTGTGAACGACATCGAAGACGAGGAGCGAATTTTGGCGGCCTCCGTGTGCATGGAAGGAAGAGCGCTAGGGTGGTTCCAGTGGGTTGATGCACATGACCCGTTTGTGGGCTGGAGAGAACTTCGGACGGCCATCATCCAGCGATTCAGCCGCGCCCGAGAAGGAGATCCGACGGAGCGGCTGATGGCGCTCTGACAGACCGGAGGAGGGGCGGATTACCGGGACACATTTGAGGCACTGGCTGCCTCCATGAGAGGTGTGCCCGAACCTATCTTCAAGGGAGCCTTCCTGAATGGACTACGAGAGGACGTGCGGGCCGAGGTGAGGATGCATCGGCCTGTCAACCTGTTGGAGGCAATGGACCTGGCCCAACAAGTGGAGGACCGACTTGAGGCGGTGGACCGGGTCAGGAGGAAGAAGGTGGGGTGGGTCTCCAGACCCGAGTACACGGGTCGACCCAGGTTAAGCCCTTATTCCCAATTTAACACCTCAGAGGTTCGCGAAAGCTCCCTTCAATCCCAATTAAATCGAGATTCCAACGGCCAACAAAAGGGGCTCACGGCGGCAACCTCGAAGGCTCAGCCTCCTACTGGAGGAGATTTCGGGTTTCGACGTCTAACCTTCGACGAAGTACAGCAGCGTAAGGCTCGCGGTCTTTGCTTCCGGTGCGATGAGAAGTATAGTCCTGGGCATCGTTGCAAGAACTGGTCATTACAGGTGTTGATGTTGGCCGACGAAGACTCGGAGGATGAGTGTAAGGAGGAGGGGTCCACGGAGGAAGGAAACACCGATCTAGGAAGCTCGGCGGCCGCAGAAATAGCCGCCTTAGCACTCAACTCCTTTAACGGTTGCTCTTCGGCAAAGACGTTAAAGGTCAAAGGTTCGATTAATGGGAAGGAAGTCATCATCCTTGTCGATAGCGGGGCCTCCCACAACTTCATCTCCACCGCGCTGGTGAGCGAACTGAAATTACCCTAGGACTTGACCACTCGGCACAAGATCCAGGTAGGGAATGTGATGATCTTCAAGCAGGATGGGATTTGCCGTTCGGTGCAGGTGTTGATCCAGGGGCATCGAGTGATTGAGAATTTTTTCCCTTTTGAATTGGGAAACGTGGATACGGTGCTCGGAGTCACGTGGCTTAGGACTTTAGGGGAGGTACGAGCTGACTAGACTCGTTTCACACTGAAATTCTTGGTAGGAAGTCAATGGGCTTGCCTGCAGGGGGACCCCGCGTTATGCTGCTCTAAGGTTAGTATGCGTTCGATCTTTCGTTCGTTATTGTGCGAGCATGCTAGAGTGTTACTCGAAATTGGGGTGGCCGCCACCGAGGAACAGGGTCTTTCGACCGCGGCAACGCCACAGGAGCTGGCCGCACTTCTGGGCCAATTCAAGTCCGTTTTCGAACTGCCTGAGGGACTTCCTCCGCGCCGTGCTCGTGACCATCACATTGTTTTATGAGAGGGGGTATCTCCCCCTAACATCCGGCCCTATAGATATCCCCATATCCAGAAGACAGAGATAGAGCGTCTAGTGGGCGAGATGTTAGCGTCGGGGATAATCCGACCAAGTACTAGTCCATTCTCGAGTCCTGTTCTGCTGGTCAAAAAGAAGGATGGCAGTTGGAGATTTTGTGTGGATTATCGTGCCGTCAACCAGCTGACAATTCCGGATAAGTTTCCCATTCCTATAATCGACGAGCTGATGGACGAACTACAAGGGGCCAGTGTATTCTCCAAGTTGGACCTCCGTTCAGGATACCACCAGACTCGTGTACGGGAAGAAGACGTAGAGAAAACAGCGTTTCGTACGCATGAAGGGCACGTGATGCCCTTCGGGCTTACCAACGCCCCTGCCACCTTCCAATCTCTAATGAACACGGTATTCCGACCCTTCCTACGTAAATTTGTGCTCGTTTTCTTTGACGATATTTTAATTTACAGCCGGTCAAGCGAGGAGCATATTCGGCATTTGGAGCTGGTTTTACAGATGCTGCACCAGTAGCAGTTATACGCCAACCAAAAGAAATGTATTTTTGGCAGTAAACAGGTGGACTACCTCGGCCACATCATTTCAAAAGAGGGTATTGCAGTTGACCCCTCGAAAGTGCAAGCCATCACTTCTTGGCCTACCCCTCGTTCGGTAAGGGAATTTAGGGGATTTCTCGGCTTGACCGGGTACTACTGCCGATTTGTGGTAGGTTATGGGGGGCTAACTCGTCCCCTGACCGACTTGCTGAAGAAGGGGGCATTTTCACTGGTCTCAACTAGTCGAAGAGGCATTTCAGAAACTTAAAGAACTAATGGCAGAACTCCCAGTTCTCGCCTTGCCGGATTTTGGAAAATTTTTTATTTTGGAAACTGATGCTTCGGGCAGTGGTGTAGGTGCTGTATTAATGCAGGAGGGGTGACCACTGGCGTATTTCAGCAAGGGACTGTCCTTAGCCGCACGTTGGAAGTTGGTTTATGAGAGGGAATTGCTGGCCATTGTCCTCGCAGTTCAAAAATGGCGCCACTACCTCCTCGGTTGACACTTTGTCATCCGTACCGACCAGCAGAGCCTACGCCACCTCATGGACCAGCGGGTTTTGGCACCCGATCAGCTTTGGTTGGTGACCAAACTCTTCGGCTATGACTTTGAGATCCAATACAAGCCGGGAGCCGCCAACCGAGTGGCCGATGCTTTGTCACGGAGGGAAGAGGCCGATATCCCCACCTTTTCCGCAATCTCCGTTCCTGAGCAACTTGACCTTGACGCCCTTCAACAGGAACAGGCTGGAGACCCCCACTGTGCAGCATTGATGGCCAACCTACAGGCTGGAGCAGGGTCGGTTCCTGGTTACAGCACTCAAAACGGGTTGCTCCTGTTTAAAACTCGTTTAGTTATCCAGCCTCGTCGCCATGGGTGAGGGCTCTCCTTCACGAGTTTCATAACTCAGTCATTGGTGGGCATTCGGGTTTCCTTCGTACTTACAAGCGTTTGGCAGCAATAGTTTTTTGGAAGGGAATGAAAAAGGTAATCAGGGAATATGTGGCGGGCTGTGAAACGTGCCAGCAATGCAAGACCGAAGCTTTATCTCCAGCGGGGCTGTTAACCCCCCTGCCAGTGCCACAGCGGGTTTGGGAGGACATATCCATGGACTTTATCAGTGGGTTACCAAGGTCGAAGGGGGTAGATGCCATCCTGGTTGTGGTGGACCGTTTGTCCAAATATGCTCACTTCTGCCCACTTGCCCACCCATTCACCGCCAAATAGGTTGCCAAGGCTTTCGTAAAGGAAATCATCCGTCTACATGGGGTGCCCAAGACCATTGTTAGTGACCACGACCCGTTGTTTATGAGCCTTTTCTGGCGGGAGGTATTCAAGCTGCAGGGCACCAAGTTGCACACTAGCTCCGCTTATCACCCGCAATCGGATGGGCAAACGGAAGTCACCAATCTGTGTCTAGAGACATACTCACGGTGCTTTGCTAATGACAAACCCCGACAGTGGCAGGGTTTTCTTCCCTGGGCCGAATATTGGTTCAATACCAATTATAGTTCCTCTACAAAGTACACCCCATTCTTCATTGTCTATGGTCGGCACCCGCCTACCCTCCACTGCTACCAGGAGGGCTCCGCAGTAGTACAGGGGGTCGAGGAACAGCTGCGGCTGCGGAATCAAACAATTGACCTGTTGAAGGAACACCTACTGTCGGCTCAGCATCAGATGAAGAAGTTTGCGGATCGTCATCGCTGGGATGTCTCCTTCGCCACAGGTGACTAGGTGCTGCTGCGATTACGTCCTTACTACATGAAATCATTGGCCCGCAGACGTAATGAAAAACTTAGTCCACGATTCTATGGTCCATTCGAGGTAGTAGAACGGATTGGCCCCGTTGCATATCGCCTTAAGCTGCCTCCCACAGCTAGGATTCACCCTGTCTTTCACGTGTCTCAGCTGAAACCGTATAGGGGACTGGTGGTTTCTGGTCTGCCCCTGCCTCCTAACCTCTCAGACGAACTGGAGTTGGATGTTCAACCTTCGGCAGTGCTGGATTCCTGAGTTCGATCGGTGGGTGGTAAACAAGTACCGGAGGTGTTGGTTCAGTGGGATGGTCTACCAATCGGGGATGCCACATGGGAGCCCGTTTACACCATTCAAACCCAGTTTCCGAACTTCAACCTTGGGTACAAGGTTGGTCTCGG